CTGGCACTGTGGCGGGACGCTGTGATTGACACTGCAACAAGACGCTGTGACTGACACTGTAACAGGACATAGTGGTTGGCACTGTAACGGGACGCTGTGACTGGCACTGTAACGGGACGCTGTGACTGGCACTGTGACGGGACGCTGTCACGGACATGGCGTCAGGCTGTTGTGGTGGGTAACGCAACATGCAATGTAACGTGCGTCACGGAGGCTGTGACAGGCCAATGTGGCGCACACTGTGACATTCCACTGTGGCGAGGCACTGTATCGGACGGGTGTGACGGGCCGGTGTGACAGGCCAGTGTGACGAGTTGCTTTGGCGGGCGGCCGTGACGGGCCGCTGTAATGAGCCGCTGTGAAAGGCAACTGCAGCTGCGAAGGACTGTGGCGTAGCGTTGTGACCAACCTGCGAAGGAATGACTGACCACTGTGACAGGCTACTGCATTCCATCACAGAAACAAATCCCCGCAACAAATTGACCCGGACAGGGCGCTGTGTCAGGCCGCTGTGACGAAAATCCGTCACTGGCCGCTGTGACTGCCTATCGTGACGGACCTCTCTGGTGGGCCACTGTGACGCACTCTTTCCAGCGGTTCGTGTGAAGAGCCCGTCTGACCGTCCGCTGTGACGCAGCCCGAGGCCTTTCCCCGGCTCGGGCGGCTCGTAAGCCGGTATTGACTGCGGCCGCTATGGGTCCGGCTGGTCTAGGTAATGAGACGGCTGTTCAGGAGGTCAGGCGCCGCCATTGCACCTCGGCCCCCGCCCCTTCGCTCACTCTGCTGTGATTGGTGGCAGAGGCGAGCCCAAGCGGTGTGAAAGAGGCGGGTACAGCGGGCCTGACGGACAGTGTGGGGACAGGGGCGAGTGCAGGGAGGTGGCAAGGAGGGTGCAGCCGCCTGTGGTGATAGTGCGGATGCAGGGGGGTGTGGGGATACATACACGAGGTACGAAGACCGGACCGTGGAATCGCGGCGCTACAATCGGCTCGCGTCTGCACAAAGGGATCTCTCAACGACCACCTCAAACTGACGTCGGAAGGGCTTAGAGGTCAGGGCACTTTCTGACAGTGTTTTTTGAGGCGTGGTAACCAATGGTCCTCACATCGTCCCCGAAAACACTGACAGAGTTTGGGTCAGGTCAGCTCTTCTGTTGTTCACACTGCATTGGGGGGTGGGGGTATTGAAACAATGTCGGTGGCTGCTAAAGAACAACGACCATGGGAGTAAAATGACTTGACGTGATTGGCAGCAAAACACGAGCAGTTTTTCACGCACCAATTTTGCAATTGAGTAGAACACGGGCAGTAAGATGACGCTGTGCAAGGCAGTCGTGGCTATTGCCAATCAGACTGCCTTGTCTGTGTCAACTGGGCCCAATCGGTGTCAACTGGGCCCCCATCAGAGCGGTATCGACTGGGCCCCCTATCAGAGCGGTATCGACTGGGCCCCCCATCAGAGCGGTATCGACTGGGCCCCCCATCACAGCGGTATCAACTGGGCCCCCATCAGAGCGGTATCAACTGGGCCCAATCTTCTCGCAATAGTGTTGTTCAAGACATCATGCTCGGCCAGCAGGGGTGGCACTAACAGTCTTCACCTTTGTTTGACACTCATCCATTCGACGTCAGAGGCCAAGTCTGTAAAAACGGCAACGACCCCTGCAGTTGTATGTTACCCAGACGCCTGCCCAGGTGGGAGTATACAAATATTATACTTTGGATTCCATACACCAGGAGCACCAACAAATGCACAAATTTAACAATCGCAAGTGGCTGAAATTGGAAACGTGAGCATTGGGGATTTGGAAACGTTTCGAACTTAACTTTGACAAAACTCTTAAAGGGGCCAAGCCCGTAAAATCGCTTTTGCATTCAGCACCACTAACGCCGTGGCATGCTTTGTTATAGGCTTAGTGGAAGTTTTCTCTTTTCAGTGCATAACCTAGGCATAGTTTTTGATTTTAACAACCTTTTGAAATAGCAACTGACTCAATGGCAAGCGAGTGCCTCTGGTAACACTGCCATTACGGCAATATTTTAGTCCCCGGCGTTGCAGTGGAATACAAAGTTTAATCGCTACAATATTCAGGTTATCGTTTTTATTTGTGTTGCTGTTGATAGCTGGTTTTTGGCATCAATATGTTCTATTCGTTCCAATGGTATTATAATTGCAAGAATTGAATCTTTCTGAAAATCAAAACAAAATCTTTTTAAAGGACCAAATCCGTCGCATACAAACCTTTGATTAGAATTAAATGTTCATTTTAGCGTATCGGAGAATAACGCAAATGAATCAACCGACAAGTTGAAGCTGTGACAAGAAGGATGTAAGATGTTCTCAACTATTGTTTACGTATATGGATATGCAAATAAGTTCTTTTAAGCTATTTTAAGCCCCAGCATCATGTATTGTACTAACACTATGATCAACGACCCAGAACTGCCATCGTTTAATGACAACGGCAATGACACGCGCCTTGCACTTTTCAGGGCATCTGACATTGGCTAACACTTCCTGGCACGGGCAAAGCCGTAGTGTTGCCAAGGCACTTTGCGCCCCGGCCCAAGGGCTGCCGGTACTGATTTGGTCTCGCTGCGGAGAGTCTCGCGAGGCGCCCGCGTCCTACAGAAGGAGTAGCAGGACTGCCGTACTTGCTAACTAGGTCTCGAGACCAACACACAACAACAACGGACCACCCACACAACTCATGCCCTCCGCTGCACGAGCCGTGCCAAGCGCGCCGCCACCGCGGACATCCGCGCCCCGGCCTCTCATCTCACCGTCAGCTGCTCCATGTCACCACCGCCGGCGATGGGGCCGGGGCCGCCCTCCGCCCTCTTGGCACCCATGGCGGCGGGCGCGGGCGAGCCCGCGCTGCGGCTCCGCCGCCTTCTCACCGCATCGGGCCCGGCCAGCGCGTGCCACGCGGGGGCCGGTCGCTGGCTACTGGCTGGCGGCGGCGGCGGGGGCCCGGCGGCCGGCCGCGCCGCCTGTAGCGTGGCAACGCGAATAACAGACGTGCCGCCGCAACGCCGGGAGACGATCCCCGTCACCGACACCGACGCTGACGCCGCACGGGGGGAGGGGGGTGGCGGCGCGGAAGCGACGCGACGCGACGGCAGCTGCTGTCGGTATCGGCTTACTCGCCTAGGTGCACGTAGGCATGGACGGCCCAACAGTCATGGGGCTCAAAAGCAAATGGTTGAGGGCCGAAATACGCTCCTGAGGGAATTTTACCACCCAATGCCTACGCCTCCGAAGTTTTTGAAAAAACGCATTTCATTACTCCCACCACGGAGAACGGCATTGCGACGTCATGCTAAGTACTTATGGTGTTCTGTGGTGTTCCGATTGTGTTCCGATGGGGTTCTCTGACAGGCGTACAACATTCCAAACTCTCATCGGGAAGACGGGTCCAGCAATTCTACACGAATCGCAAGCCCTGTGGTCCATTTACAACGGGGCACAGTTCAAGACCAGCTGACTGGTAAAATCCTGCGAAGCGCAAGAGCACTGCAGGTCGACATGCAAATCCAGAAGTGACGCGCCACCTTCTCATGTTGACAGCAGCGCCGAAATGACGCATTGATCGCGTGGCGCTGATGGCAAATGCGTAGCTGTCTTAGCTCGCACCTCTACGCCGCACGTTTGCCGTGCGTCCACACATTCCCGTATGTTGATTCAGAAACATCCTTGTCGTGAGCTTTCCCCGGAGCGCCAAAAAAAAAACCAAAAAAAAAAACGCCTTGATGCCAATGATTATAAATGTATCGAATTCGTGCGATGAAATGGCCAGAACAGGCTAGATCAGCAGTCAGGAAAATTCAGAAATGACATTTCTGAACTGTGGCTCGACCCCCCACCACCACCTACGGTTTCCCTGGGTGGAGCATGAGCTGATGGTGGCGGAAGTTGGGGATCGAGCTACTCTCAGCTGTCGTGTCATCCGGGACGTATGTAGGTCTCCCGTTCGGGCAACAATCATGGCGCGATCTCGCGATTCCAAGCTGTGTTTCAGTTTCACAGGGATGCTGCCGGGCTGGGGCGGAGTCCAGCCAACTGACTCCGAGACCGAGTCCGGATCACGGTGTGCTGAATGAGTCCGAGTTGCGGACCCGACTTGGCACATCTCACGAGACCGGACGATCGCTTCGAGGACTCGTGACTCCGAGGCCTCCGAACATCAGTCCGGTGTTCCAAGGACCGAACATTGGACCGGAGCCCGCGCCTCCCTCAAGCACCGAGACCGCCCCAGTCTCAGCTTCTGCTGGAATCGCGCAATGCAGAAATCGCTTCAGATATGACCGCCCGGGATGTGTATCATCGGGATGAGCTTTCATCGCGATGCTACATCGGGATGAGTATCATCGGTATCATCGGGATGAGTATCATCGGGATGAGTATCATCGGGATGAGTATCATCGGGATGTGTATCATCGGGATGAGTATCATCGGGATGCTACAGGGTTTTCAAGCAAGCGAGAAAACCGGGTACCGATGCTGTTTATTTGTGCCGCGAGTCTATTCCACCGGGTCCGACTCAGAGCGTCACGCGTCCGACCCAGAGCGTCACGCGACCGACTCAGAGCGTCACGCGTCCGACTCAGAGAGTCACGCGTCCGACTCAGAGCGTCGCGCGTGATCGGCTGGCACGTCACAACCGTGACGCCTGCTCCGCGAGCGTCTACACCAGCTCCGGCCGATGGATGAGCCGTAGAGGTCATGCCTCCTCCCCCCCCCCCTAACTTGGCCGTTTGTAAGATGGCCAATCCGGGAAAGTGCGAGATCTGGGGGTGGTAAGTGGGTGATGGTCACGCTTTATTCAAGGTTCAGGCACTGTTTTCAACTGTTTCGGACCTAACCAGTGGCCTGCACAATACGGCACTAATAATGCCACTACAGCTGCTGCTTATTCCTTGCTTATGTCATTTCTTGTTCACAGTCACATTGGCCCCAGAACAGACACACAAACTGTTGTTGAGAAACTGACACGTTGCCCAAAATCAAAAATGTATTTGTGCGCAGCATGCACAATACACAATGATGAGTCATCACCACACTGATGAAAAATGTAGGCAGCATTCATTATGGTATGGTAAGAACTAAAACAGCATGATGACACACTAGGTAATCAATAACTCGCTAATAATTCTAGCAAACTGCTGGCAAAGAAAACAAGGATTGTCTTCACTAGACACAACTGAGACAAAATATCACCTTGGATCACATATGCCCATCATTGTGGCACTGATCCCACTTACTGATAAGTGACTGACAGGAACTCAAGTATCCTACTACCAAAGGCAAAACAGGTGAAAGAATTACAAACCACACCAAAAAGCTGAACTATACCTCATGATTACCCTTGCACATTTAAACTGGCCATTTTTCACTTGAGATGTGGGCATTTATTACATATTTCCTTGTTAAACATTTGTTAAGTGTCATCCTAAACATTGCAAGAGATGACTGCCATTCAATTCTTATACAAGGCGGACTTAAACACAAGGCAAAACTAATGACAGTGGTGCAGAATCACAGTCTTTTTCACAAACCATGTGAGAAGAGTTTTCTACAGGTACTTCTTGGGAACATTAGAAAGCTCATTCCATGTTGGAACAAGCTGATTAGTGAACACATACTCCTTCACTTTAGCAATGATCATAGCAAACACTACCAAAATGGCCAGGTACTGAACCCACGCCATTTTCAACACTTGCCAAACACCAGGAGTATACATAATTGTTTGCTCAGGGTATTTGAGATGGAGCCTGAGCAGGAAAGCTGAAGAAGATGCTCCATTTGGTGACCAGATAAAGTACTGGTTATCAAGATGGGTGGTTAAATTCCTTGCAGCATATCGGCCCAGGATAGCACCAATATCATAATCTTCTGGTTCCAGACTGTCAGCAATTATGATGTCTTGATTGTACAGATCATTGCGCCCCCTGTGCTTGAGAGGCTCTCTCTGATGGAACTTCAAATCGCCAAGCACTGTTAACTTGCCACTTGGTATGGCTGAAGAGGAGGCCACATATGCCAGGCAGTCCATGTGAAGTCTCACCATTGTGTACAGCTTGAAATCAAATCCAAGCAGCAGCTTGATTCCATGCACATGTTCACCATCTAACAGGGGAAACTCCAAATCAAAGTGGAGGTCGTCATTTTTTCCATCACGGTTCACGTCATCTTCAAAGCTTGAGACAATTGGCGCTCGAACATTTTCCCTCACCATCGCATTGAGGGAAGGGAAGGTGGACCATATCAAATAATTGTCTGGATGATTAGTGTCAACAATGACCATGACATTATGCTTGAAATGAATGTCAGGCTGTTCACGATAGGCATCAACTTTCAACCAAAATCCGTGGCTCCTGTACGCGATGAGCAGGGGGGGAACAAACGTCAGAAGACTGCACAGCCCAATAAAAATTGTTCCCTTCGAGCACAGAGTTGACCTATAGCTGACTACAGGCGAACGAGTCCAAACTGTTATAAAGCCCATCTCAACGATGTACTTGCTCGTGGGTAAACTGTAGAGCTCAGATCATGCACACAGCCCCACTTCCGCTCTCGACCGCCACGCGCGCGGCTCTTCCACGGAGCTGCGGCTGTTTTGTTTTGGTTTTGGAATGCAGGAGTGGCGCTACCCACGCCAAAAATGTCACCTACCTAGAAGCCGAGATGACGTCAAACTTGAGCATTATGAAAGGGCTGTGAGCATATATAGCCCTTATTTCTGTGCTCAGGATGGTAACATCTTATATAAAATCGATAAATTTTTCTCAAAAACTATCTCAACCTTTCTTTCTCATTACACAAAGCCTGAGGGCACGTATACAGTATTTCACTGTGTTCACTACTGTGTCCTTGAACTAACAAGGGATATTTTTGTCCAACCAGACTCCCAGTTTGCGAGTGCGTTGAGCAAGATATTGAGCAACGAGTCAAGCAAGTTGTGAAAGTGCTATTTAGCAGCGTGTGCAGTGTCAGTAAAGTCTTTGTTGCAACATTCTGTGCGATCATTCCTTCAGAAGTAGCTTGTAGCAGACGTATTTTGGTGTCTGCTTCTGTGGGTGGTGCATAGCGTCAAAATAGTTGCTTTATCCAAAACCAAGCTTAAGCTGGATGCAACAACAGTCTCCCATTTTGCGTGGGCTCGATAAGTCAGTGATCAGATCATATCGATCAGCTCAGGCCGAGTGTTCTTGACTCAGGCTCATCTGAGGGGAAATAAGGAAAACTCTGATTTTAACAGCATTTTTTGTAGGTGGGTATTGATTGTTTTCTATGTACCATGTGGTAAAGTATGTGTATATTGAATTTATGTAGCAATCTTTGCATAATGAGTGCATGCTAATTTTGGGTGGTATCATTTCCTACTGGTAGTGATTTACCTAGGGCTCCTTCTTCTATGTCACTGCAAAGTCTTGCACACTATGCCAGGTGCAGACACAGCATCTGAACACCAAGCCTCACACCTGCATGTGCTAAACCCAGGCCGGCCCAAATCACACTGAATTTTCAAACTGATGATGTGTTTTTGGAGTAAATTTCCTTGATATTAACATTGGAACATCATAAATTCTCAAAAGTTGTCTCACTTGCCAAAGCTGGTAGCAGCCATGCAACAAACTCTGGAACCATCAGATTTGCAGCATACATGCACTAAAACACTTGTGGTAATGTTGCTGCTATACCAGACACATTTATCATGATACTTATTTTTTGCAGTCTGGCTTCTATGCAGGCTAGATTACCAAGCATGCCTTTTGTGACAAGGTCTTTGCAATGGTAGGCAGGTGTGCCTTGGTACTTCCTGGTGCTCATTTTGCTGTTTATGGCTTTATTAGTCCTAACTGCTTGGTAATAGTAGTGTAAAATGCTGGGCAACAGACACTGGTAGGATTACAGAAAAAATGGATCAGTGTGTAACAAAAAATATCACCTTAGGCAGCCCCACATAGGTTTTATATTTACTGCATGTATATGTCAGTATTGCTCAATTAGCATATTACTTTACTCATCTGGTGCTTTTTTGTATTGGGTGTACTGCTATTTTTTCATCATCCATTTTTTGTGATCTTGGGTATGGGTGCTGAAGCATTTGCCCCAAGTGAGGGGATTGTGAAGGCTAAGCACACTCAGTGGGGTAGGAAATAGTTCCTTGTTGCTTGCATTAGATGCGGTCATGTTGAAAACTGTCAGTATGCACCTGTGTTATCTTGATTAGTGACCAATGCAGTTCAGCACAGAGCATTGATGTTACTGGCCATAATGGGAACTGTAGCCAGTAAAAGTAAATTTATATTTTTGTTTTTAATACTATTAGTTGATATTGCACTGGGATCTGTAATCTCAATTCTCAAGCTCCCGTTTGTGTACGAATATATGCACATGGTGATTGTATGAACTGCTTAACTCACCACCCATATACCCTTATAGGTGCATATAGGGCTCAAATAGCAGGACTGTGTAGTTGTGAGTAGGGCCCATCATGTGGGAGGGCAAATACGTCCAAATTCAGCTCAGCCCAAATCATGCTCTGCACACCTTCAGCCAAAGCATCATATTATAATGATCATGTATGGGGACAAGCTACATATTATAAGTGGTATGGCTAATAGAAAATAACTTCATGTTATAAACAAGATAGCATATTACCCAAGTCAACAAATAGTCAATAGTATATGAACTTCATATGGTGAAGATGCAGACCACTGTCACATGATCATGTGTAGCAATGATAGTAATAAATTATGTAATTGACATAGAATAATCCCATACAATGATTAAAAAGATATAATAATATCTAAGTAAAAGTGGATACTCAATAGTGTATCAACCTCATATGGTGAGACCACTGTCACACTGTCCATTTTTTGCATCCAGCACCATCACCACATCATCATATCACATTGCCACATCATCACATCACTTCACAATCACGCAGCACCCTTCTCTGGCAGTCTGTCAGCTGCTAGCTGTCACCCCACCCCTGCAGACATTCCCTTCCCCCCCCCCCTTCCAACAGCTGCCTGTACCTCGCCCCAGCTCACCAGCGGGCCCCTGGGACCGTCTGACCTCTCCACCATCGCCGTCCGCATCTCCGTCACCTCCACGTGACCGTCCGCCGGTGGGGCCGGCAGCGCGTCAGCCCAGCGCCCAGCCGCCATGCCGGTGCGCTCGGAGGGCATGGAGGCGCCGCCGCCGCCGCTCAACTCGCGCCAGCCGGGCGTGGTGCGCTCGCCCCTCCACGACGGCTCCGTCTTCAAGGGCTACCAGAAGTCCAAGGGCAACTGCTACGACGTCGAGGTGGAGCTGAAGGTGCGCCACTGCTGCCTGCGGAGACCTGAATGAGCCTGCGGTGGACGCATTGGTGGTGTTTTTTGGGGGGAGGAGGGGGGGGGGGGGTTAAACAGGATACTTAAGAGCCAAAGATCATAATGACACATAAAGCATTGCCATGTTTGTATTTCCCAGCAATTACTTTGTGGTTGCAACACTGCTGCACCACATTTTGGATGAATAAGTCATTGTCAGCACCATCTTTTGAATGAAGCATGAATGGGTCGCGGTGGGAACTGCGGGGCGTCCAAATAGGATTCGACCCTTGCACTGTTGAGTGTCCTGGCACAGGCACTTAACCGTCCGATGCGCGTGTGGACCGTGCCCGGTGGCGGTCCCGCAGCCCACTAACGCCCGTCCGTCGGGCGGCCACCTCCCGCGCGCAGAAGGTGGACCTGGACAGCGCGTACCTGTGCGGCTACCTCAAGATCAACAACCTGACGGACGACTTCCCCACCATGGTGACGTACTTTGACGGCGAGATCATCGGGCGGCGGCACCCGTTCCTCACCCGCAAGTGGGACGCCAACGAGGAGGTGGACCGGAAACACTGGGTACGCGCCGCCGGCGGGGCCGCCGGTGCCGGCTCGAGCTCGCGGGGCCCGGCGGCAGGCGCTGGGCTCGTTCAGGCTTGTTCAGCGTCGCTGGGCGTACGGCTGTGTTATGCGGCGTGGTGGCGATACTGGTTATGGTTTTCTCGGGATGAGTCGCTTATGTTGGTTGCGTTTTTCTCGACCGAGTCGTAAAGCTATCGCAGTTTGCTGCATTTGTCCAAGCTCATCCACCTCTCCAGTAAGAGATGGCAGGCCTTGCGGGTCCAAAACCAGCGGGCATCTTCACGTTTCTAATGATGCTATTTTTCGCGGACGCTTAACATCGCTGCACTTACCACGGCTAAGCTCATAAAAGAAAGGCTACTCCAAGACATTGCTAAGTCTTGTCCATATGGGTTCCCAAATGCAACAGGCTGCAATCACTTATAGTAAGGAATCATCTGCATGGTGACAACAGTCACGCCCTGTTATCACTGAACATCATGATATGTAGCCTTGGCCATCAAATAATACCTAGAAAATACATGCTTTGTGGGCAGTTGAGTTGTTCTTATTTTTGGCTAATGTGTCGAGGAATATGGGGGTTGGGGTGGGGATGGGGGGGGGGGGGCAACATGGGGCCTGCGTTGATGGAGATGAGCCTAAAGTTCCCGGGATTATCATGACAGCCATGCCCATATATGGGCATGCCAGAAGCCTACTTCCTTGGAACTGGGAAATACAGGATTTGCTGGAGACGTCACAAATGCAGTACCCGAGATCTGAAAAATCTGAAAACATTGCACAGAGTTCTGCTGAAACTGATATGGGAATGAGACGCCTTGTAGCCAATGCATTTCGTATGAACTAGCTGTCAGGTCATCCCCCATTGGCTGATGTGTCCACCTGCTGCTGTACGGTTACGAGCTGGAACCGCTTCGCCAATCACAGCTTTGTCAGTCACTGCTTTGCCGGTCACGTCTTCGTCGGTCACTGCTTCGCCGGTCACTGCTTCGCCTGTCACTGCTTCGCTGGCCACCGCTCCGCGGGTCACTGCTTCGCTGTCCACTGCCTCGCCGGCCGGGGCGGCGAGGCGCAGACGGTGACTGAGAGACGCCGTCCTGTCCGTCGCCAGGGCAAGTTCGAAGCGTTCTCGGCCTTCAGCAAGACGTTCAACACGGACGACTTCGACTACGACGCGCTGGAGGCGTACGACTCGGTGTTCATGAGGTGGAAGGAGAGTTTCCTCATCCCTGACCATCAGGTGAGGGTCCAGAGTCCCTGAACATGACGTCGGGTGGGCCGCCCAGGACCCCTGGACTAACTGGTGAGCTCCTAGCGTGATCCCGCCGGGTGGGATTCGTCGACGTTCGACGGCCGCCAGAGCCGCTCATTATCATATACCGTGTGTCGTCACAGCGGCGCGACTGCCTTCGACCTAATAGCGGTCACCGACCTCGACTACCGGTCGACGCTCGGGGTCGGTGACCTCTCCGGGCGGTCGGCGCCCGGGGTCGATGACCTGTGCGACCTGGCGCCGGACGGGGTCGCCGACCTATGTGGCTGGGCGCCGGACCGGGTCGGTGACCTCTCCGGGCGGTCGGCGCTCGGCGTCAGTGACCTGTGCGGCCGTTCGGCGCCTTGGTCGACCCTGTTCCCTCGCCCCTCGCCCCCCCCCCCCCCCCCACGCGTATCCGGTATCTCCGTTCATGGGTCCGCCCGCGGCGTCGGCTGCCAATTCTTGCCAGCGGATTGTGACCCGCTGGTCTCGTATCTTACGGTAGCCAGTGCCCCCGTGTGGTCCGTGTGCCAGTAAAGGGCCCATGGTACATGTCGGGATACACTATGTGAAACTAAGCGCGGGTCACCGCCCTTTGAAACCGTGCCGTGGCAGGGGGAGCGTACACGTGCAGTGCAGTGATGAGCATGTAGGTTATGAGCAGACCATTTTCAGTCTAGCATTCCATTTGTATTTTGTGCGTAGTTAATGCGTAATCTTTATCAGCCAAGCCGAGTCGTTCACGCTACGCACGCTAGAACGGCGTGTATCCCAATTGCGCCCTCCGTAAATTGACTCCATGAAACCGTCCGCAGTCTTCCATTGCTTCGCACGCTTGACGCGACATCTATCGGTAGGTGAAGGACATCAACGGGGCCTCGTTCGCCGGGTTCTACTACATCTGCTTCATGAAGTCGTCAGCGCAGATCGAAGGCTACTACTACCACGAGAAATCCGAGATGTAGGTGCACCTCCTGGACCGGAGGACTGGCCAGCTCTACGCAGCTCATGTGCTGCACACTGACATGCAGTTGCTAAGATGTAGTGATGGAGAGTTGGAAATTGTGAATGTGTCGGGCATGGGTTGGATGAGGCCATCATTCCGGTCGTCCCCTGCAGAACTAGCGCACGGGCGTCTCGATAATCTCTCGTCAGTGGCGTTAGCTGTACATTGCGTAACATCTGGCGTAAGATGGCGGCAAGGTTTCAGCTCCGTTTCGATTCGTCTTCCCAAACGGCTCCAAGTGGTTCGGAATCCTGGTTGCGACATGCCCGCTGAGCGCTAACATAGCCGGTGCAGTCGCTTCATCAAAGGAGGCGGGACATGCGTCGCGTCCCCTCAAAAAAATAAAGAAGAAGAGAGGGGTGTGAGGCCTTCATGGTCTTGGTTTGAGTGCAGACTGTGTCACAGTGACCAACACCGCCCGACGACCGCTCTGTTGCAGGTACCAGTCGCTGGCGTTACAGCACGTGCCCAGTCACTCCACCGAGATATACGAGTTCAGATGAGGCCAGCCAGGCGTGTCGTCCGCCTCGCCGCCAGAGCTTCCGCCAGCCGCCGCCAGGCAGCGCTGCCGTGCCGCGGCGGCGGCTCGCCCCGAACGCGATGCGTCGGTGTGTGACGCGCAGTGCTTTCAGCTAGGGTTAAGCGGTCGGAGGGGACGCGTCGCTTCTTCGGAGAGTCGGCGTGCAGAGCCGGGAGTCGCCGACTCGCGGCAGCCGGGATGCAGTGGCGACGTGTGTTTGGAATGGACTTGTGGCTGGTAGTCAACCCCTCATAAATTAGCAGATGCAGTGTGTAGGTCGCATTTTGGTGTTGCCAATGTCCTCGCAACTCGCAAATACTCCTGGACAGGAATGTTTGGGTCTCGTGGTAACTGTGGCAGTCCCCCCCCCCCCCCCCCCCAGCGCAATCCGTGGCCTCTGTCTCGCAATGGCTGCCTCGCCCAGCGACGAAGTGACGACCGTCATCTGTTGATCCCCCTTTCCCCGTGTGAGCTGGAGCCGACGCCGCTCGGTCGGGCGCCAGTTGACGCGCGTGTTAGCCGCCGCCGGCAGCGGACTCTCCCAGCGGCCAGGCTCCACCGGCGGCGGGGGGGGGGGGGGGGGGAGGGACTGCTTCCGCGAACTAACAGCACCGCAAGCCGAGTACGAACTCCTGTGAGCGCTGTCGAGAGGTGGCGCTGCCCCGGGCCGCCGCCTAGCCGAGCCGGGCTCCGGCCGTTTGGTTACGTTTTTGCTCCGCTGCACCCCGTCCGTCGCGTCAGTCCTGGCGCATTTGACGACGACCGCGACGTCGCGCCGCGGTGTGTCTGCGAACTGTTGTTGACGAGCGCGGAGGTGACCTAGTCACGCTTGGGCCCCGCCCCCGCCCCGGGCTTCCTGTCTCCCTCCGTGGACGTCTGTCGTCGCAGCCCGCTCGTGTTTGCGCCGGTGTGCCCTGTGGCGGCGGTCTCCTAGGACACCTGCTGACGTGTGATCGGCGCGGCGGCGGACCGGACGGCGATCCGGTCGCCGGGCCAGAGCTGCTTGTCGCGGTCGCCTCCCGCTGCTGCGCTGTCCAGCCTATAAACGCTGTCGTCGGAGACCAGTGTCTGCAGAGCGGCGGAACGGCCCGGAGGCGCGACCGCCCGTCCTCGGACTGCCTCGATCCGCCCCTGACAGGGTCTGCCCTGGTCCGCTCCGGACAGGGGCGGATCAGGGCAGACCAGGGCGTCTGTCCATCCTGGACAAAGTCTGCCGTTGTCCACCCCTGATAAGGTCTGCCCTTGTCCGCCTCTGGCTGGGTCTGCTCCGGTTCACCCTTGGAAAAGTCTGTCCTGATCCGACCCTGGCAGTAAATGGTCAGAGATCACTCTGGGACGGGTCTGGTGAGGGTCCACTCTGGACAGGCTCAGATCAGGGCTTATTCTGGGCGGGGTCTGGTCAGGGTCCATCCCAGGCGGGGTTTGGTGAGGGTCAGGTCAGGATCCACTCTGGGCGGGATGTGGCCATGTCCACCCTAGGCGGCGTCTAGTCTGCGCCTAGGATCAGGAATCCCCAAGGATCAGGGATGGTCAGGGATCACTCTGGGGCGGGTCTGGTGAGTGTCCACTCCGGGCAGTCTGGCCAGTTTCCACTCTGCGCAGGGTCTGGTCGGGGTCAGGTCGGGGTTCGCTGCGGGCAGGATCTGATCAGGGTCAGGTCAGGGGTAGGTTAGCTGTGGGCAGGGCCTGCTCAGGGTTCACTCTGGGCGGGGTCTGGTCAGGGTCCACTTTGGTCAGGCCAGGTTGGTCCGGCCGAGTTCGGCTCGTGTCCAGACCCCTTCGGGCGTCACGCTGCCCCCTCCCCCCCCCCCCTCCCCGCCGACGTCCAACTCGAGACGCCACTGGTGCGGCGTAATCTGTGCACTGGCGGGAACCACTGTTCGGAGGGACGGCCCATCCGGCTGTGGGGCCCCGAGCAGTGGCGGATCTAGCAAGAGGATGTAACCAGCGGCTGAAAGGATGATTGCGAAAACAACACAAATGCATTCTGACAAAGCTTATACGGTCATGCATGAATGAGGGGACAGGTGGGAAAAACACTTCATCGCCACGTGTTTTTCTACGCGGCGGGTAGCTGCCGATTCTGGCCGCCCCCGCCCCCCCCCCCCCCCCTCCCTGCGTCTGAGCCAGGCACAGCCGGTCCAAAACCGAGGCTGACCTTGTCTCGTCCTTGGGGCCGGAACTGCAATGGGGAAGGGAAGCGCTGATCGAGTGAACTGCCTCAGCTCATGAACGTGTTCCCATCGCGGTGCTCGTATTCGGTGTTCCGGCTCCCAACGTCAACCGCCGGCCACCAAAGAAGGCTCAAGTCTCAGTGACTCACAAGACTCACAGCTGGTTGCGCTGTTGCGGTGGCGTAAGGCCGCCAGTACACGCATGGGTGTCGATTCCTCGAGATGATTCGGGGCCAAAGTCTTGGAAGTCGCCGTAAGGGTACAGGTACCGAACGATTTCTTGGATTTTGTCCATTCATGTTCTGGGTATCCATTATATATATATATATATATATATATATATATATATATATATATATGTATATATATATACATCTCTCTCTCTCTCTCTCTCTCTCTCTCTCTCTCTCTCTCTCTCTCTCTCTCATCTCCTCTCCTCTCTCTCCTCTCTCTCTCATCTCTCTCCTCTCTCCTCTCTTCTCTCTCTCTCTCTCTCCTCTCTCTCTCTCTCTCTCTCTCTCTCTCTCTCGTCTCTCTCTCTCTCTCTCTCTCTCTCTCTCTCTCTCTCTCTCTCGTCTCTCTCTCTTCTCTCTCTCTCTCTCTCTCTCTCTCTCTCTCTCTCTCTTTATGTATATATCTATATCTATATATCTTTTTATATATATATATGTTTATATCTACATATTATAACCAACAATTACTACATGTTTTCCAAAGAGTTCATGTGCGTAACCACAAGGATAAGATATGAAAGCCTAGCGGTTTGCATCAGCTTAGAAGCGCACCTGTTCTGTGTAGTTGAGAGGGTAGAAGTTACATATCTCTTTTGCTTGTGGAAGAGTAGAATCTGCGCGTAGTTTACCATTATGTGCTATGGTCATTTGTGGTGCATTTATCTATGCATTCACAGGATTAAGTGTCCGCAATTCATGTGGCTATCGCAACCTTTTTACGAGCAGGCTCTCGACACACCAAAGTTTCGGTGATAAAATATATTAATTTCAGTCAATGTAAAACAAAACATAAACACTCCTTATATCATCAGTTCAGAAGATGACCCTCAACCTATCCCCAGATGGCAGGAGCAAATGCTTTCTTGTTGAGAACGCCTTTCCACGATCATTTCATTACTCACACAACTTTGCAAGCCTGCTGTGGTTCTGGGGTACGCTGTGCCAAGCCTTCGCGCCTCGAAACAGGAAGCGACCGTTGCGCTTCCGCTTGAATGTGTGGCAGATGAAACCCCTGCGGTGTCACTGTCATGCGCAATGCAGGCTAGATGTGAAAGTGTTGCTCGTTGAGATGGCTATTCAGTGGCCATATGCGACTATATTGATGTACACGTACTCGTTACCCAATGAGCTCACCTACGCAGGTGCGCAGCCAGAATTTTGTAAGGGCAGGGGGACGCAGGGTTGACGAAGGGCCCCTCGTGGTCAAAGACCCCCTACCCCTAAAAACGTCGCACATCACCAGATATGACACACTTGATTTGGAGGAAAAGATTTGATTTGTTGTTGCTAAATGTTTACCATTTTTACTGAAACAAGCCAGATGGCACCCAATGATACAATTCTGGATGTACTTTAGTCAATTTCTGAAGAAACCAGACCCCAAATGATTGGATGAAATAAAACGCCGTCAATTTTCTATTCGTAGTAGTTCAGTAGACTCTTTTTAATGATTACACTCAGGGGCTCCGGCGGAATTTTTTGGTGCTATGCAGACATTGTGAATATGTACATGACGTGGACGTAGATGATGGTAAACGTAGGTTGCGGATCGAACTTGGGTCATAAATTTGTTTTGACATGTCCAGCCCATGCTTATCTCAGAATGTACCTTTGTCCAAAAGCAAAATTCACATACTTTTTGACCATGTGCGCTCGCAATCCTCACAGCAAAAATTCTTATTCTCAGCGTTGCAATCTCCGTAGTCCGTAGGACGCTAAAAACACGATAATCGGCCGTCGGCCCCCCGTGGCTAAAAACCTCCCAAATAGTTGATATCATATGGATCCCCCAATTTTCATGCCCTGCTTTATTTAGGCGCCAGAAGGTTGGGGGCCAAAGCCACCGTTCGGGAGAGGGGGGGGGGGGGGGGGGGAGGGAAAGTGATAGCCAGTGGCCCACCCAAAACACAAATCGACACTTATGCGTCAACATAGATAAGACCATGTGTTCTGTCAGGATAGGATGTCATGCTTTATTTTATATTATGTTTTATATTATATTAGTAGGCATTATGATTTGCATTATAGGATATATGTTCAGGGTGTTCTCGGCGACTTTCAGGTAGAATGTTGGAAGAAGTAAAAAAGTCTAGAGCGCTTCTGGGGATGGGTGGTAGGAAAAGCAAACACGTCCTATCGGAAGGCAGATTATTGACGCTACCTTGCATAGATGAGCATTTGCTTTGGAAAATCAAAGGCGTTGTTAAAATATTGGAACTGCGCGTACGCATAGCTTGGAAAAATGACAAGAAGCTTAAAAAGTCTCTGGTGAAATCTTCCATCTCGAAGCCTGACTGCCCGGGTGACAACAGATGTTATTTATGCAGTTCTGGGTTTCAAGGGGTTTACACGCAAACAACGAGGTTTACGAAATCATGCGTAAACTGTGGAAAAACATGGGAGGGACATAGTCTATGTCGGGAAGTCCATGCACCCTATTCGTTTAAGATGTAGCGAACGCCTGCGAGACGCGAAAAACAAAACAGGGAATACTCCTTTCGGTGACCACTTGTTTTTGCAAAACACATCAGTCTGAAATCGAGGGAGGCATGGACCCTCATGCCCCGTTTGGAGCTCAAAACCATCTACAGAGCACAGGACCACCCTGACAGGAAAACAAGTGAATAAATTCTGATAAAAAGTCGGCGACCAAATCTTAACACCCAGGGCCCATCATGGCCAATTATGCGAACGTGTTATGTGTTATGTGCCTCTATGTGTGATATGTGCTAGCTTAATATCGTTCACGTGTGTAAGTGATGCTTGTCGCGTGATGTGCGATGCCTGTTCGGTTGAAATCGTTTGCGTGCATAATTGGTGCGCGATGTGTGATGCCTATTTACTTCAGCTCGCTTGCATGTTCGAATGAAGCGTGATGCGTGATGCCTATTTGCTTGAATTCATTTGCATGTACGCGTATGTCGGGGCATTCTAATTCTTAGATAGCCACTGTATCTTGGTAATGGC